ACTGCCGGCTCATGTTGAGCTTCTCATGAGCTTCTCATCCACCAAAGTCCTTCTCCTCAGAGCTGCTCTCTATCCATTCTCCACCCAGCCTGTATTTGTGCTTGGGATTGCCTCAACCCACGTGCAGGACCTTGCACTTGGCCTTGTTAAATTTCATGAGGTTGGCATTGGCCCACCTCTCAAGCCTGTCAAGGTCCCTCTGGATGGCATCCCTTCCCTCCACCACACCACACAGCTTGGTGGCATCGGCAGACTTGCTGAGGGTGCACTCAATCCCAATGTCCATGTCTCCAACAAAGATGTTAAACAACACTGGTCCCAGTACCGACCCCTGTGGAACACCACTTGTCACCGGTCTCCACTTGGACATTGAGCCATTGACCACAACACTCTGAGTGCGGCCATCTAGCCAACTCCTTATCCAGCAAGTGGTCCTTCTGTCAAATCCATGTCCCTGCAACTTAGAGACAAGGATGTCATGTGGGACAGTATCAAAGGCTTCGCACAAGTCCAGGTAGATGTCAGTTGCCCTTCCTTTATCCACCAGTGCTGTGGCCCTGTCATAGAAGGCCACCAAATTCATCAGGCACGATTTTCCCTTGGTAAAGCCATTTGGTTGTCATCAATCACCTGCTTGTTTTCCATGTGCCTTAGCATAGATTCCAGGAGGATTTGCTCCATGATCTTGCCGGGCACAGAGGTGAGACTGACCGGCCTGTAGTTTCCCGGGTCCAGCCCACTCATGTTCTAATTCAGGACTGCTCTGTTACTTCGCTGCAGACAAAACTGGATCCTACAGCATACCCCAAAAGTGAATCACTAAATGGAGGAATTACACGGAAAACTAAAGAGAAGTGTTTTTAAGCAGCCACGCTATGTCAGGCTAACGCAGTGCTAAACAAAGGGTGAAACATGAACTAAAAACCACAAGCCTCACTGTTTGCCCAGATTATCTGCTGATCCTTCTGATCCCTGTCTCAGACTATTATGAACTGTTCTTTAGCAGGAAAATTTTCAATTGGTCATGGGAAAAGGGAGATCATCTTTCCTTTAAGATGTTAAAACAACTGACTGAAACACTAAACTGTACAGTACAAGATCATGGTCTTAATCTTTTCGGAGTGCTGTTTGAACGCTCTCTGGTCGGCCACACAAGCAACCAAACCCCTGGAAGATGGGGCAGAGGGGGAAGGGAGGAAGGTAGCTGCTCATGCCTCCTCAGATACTTCAAAAGACACACAAATGATCATGATTCTAACAGACACAAAAAAGTCATGAAATCTTATATGTATACATGGCAACTCTAAAATTTCAATATATCTTATGAATAACACTTTAAATTCTTACCTGATTCTATTGAATACAATACAACACTGTTGTTTCCAGAATCAGAGTCTTTTGCAAAGACAGTGGTAATAAGTGTCCCTGGCGGCTGCCCTTCCAAAACCTGTCATTAAGCAGTTTATAAATAATTTGCAAATATACACGGATAACAGCAAGTCTTAAACTCCTTCCAACAACACAAGAGTTTTGCTGTTGCCCTGTTTTTCATTTCAGTAATATCTAGCCAGTGAAAAGAGCATTTCAGGAAAGGGTTAAATAATACATTTCTAGCAATCCTGTGTTACAGTCTGCAAATATTAACAATTTAAAAAAATCTTTAGTACAGCAGACTCCAAGGTCAGAAATTAAAAGAGATTCTACTGCATATGGAAACAAAATTATACATATATATCCTTTACATCTCACAGTATACCAGTCAGAGAAATGTAATCATTTGATACATTTTTAAAGTCCCCAGCACACCTGAAGAAAGAGCTACGTTTCTATTTCGGTGCCCTACCGTCCCAGCTCTGCAGCATGGGGGGTTTGGGCTCCTGCCACAGGGTGGTGCTAGGGGCCCAGCAGCGCCCGCCTGGAGGGGTCCGCAGCACCCACCCACCCACAGGGGTCCGCAGCACCCACTTGGAGGTGCAGCTCCTGCCCGGGTGCCACCCCAGGGAAGAAGGGCTTGTTGTCGTTGATGTCCGTCACCATGATGTACACGGCTGTGGTGGCATTAAGCCTCGGGGACCCATGGTCGGTCACTAGCACGGTCAGCTGGTGGTGAGCTTGTTTTTCACGGTCAAGTGCAACCCAGTTTATAATTTCACCTGACAGACAAAGAGAATGAAAGAGAAAAGGAGTCAGATATTACTATATGCTAGCACTCATCTCACTGCATGCAATTATACATTACATTTAACATGCAATGATACATATCTTCTGATACACCTTGCCACTGACATTAAAACCTCAGTTTTCCAATCTCCATTCCATAGAAACATTCTGTCAATCACCATTTGCACTTATACTTCAACATCACATTACATCCTTTACTGCACAGCAGATGCCCCAGAGCAAACGTATAAAACAACATGAACCAATGTGCTGACCTTCCAAATCCACTTGGCGTTTTCTTCACCACACTTCAGGACAGATAATATATGAGGATGGGGTTTTAACTGCTGACAAATAGCCTTTATTATGCCCCTGGGTTAGGAAATTATCAACACAATGCCTGTACATTAATCAGGAAGCCTTATGACTCCTACACATTGTGGTAAACTCAGTGAATAAATCTGACCCAATCTTCTGTTTGCTCAATCATACTCAGTACAGCTGTAGACTTGTGGTTGAAGTCCTTCATACAGATAACCACATACTATTTCAAGACCTTCATGATTAACTCCTTGTACTCTGTTTGTCTTTAAACTTCCATAAATGTACTCAACAGGAACCTGCTTTGAAATGACACTTTCATTTTGAAATTTATACAGACAAATTGTGGGAGAGCCTATTCAGTTCCCATCAGGAAAGGACATCTGGGAACAGGAATTTTAAGCAGCAGATCTTTGCTTGCTACCTATCATGGTGCTAAACCAGATTATTTACAGTGCCTGTGTTCCTTACAGGGTTCCCTTCCTCTGACCTCTCCGTACTGTGTTCTGTGGTGTTATACTGGGTGGATGTAGTATCTATCAATCGAGGCATTTGGATTCACGAGTATACCCTGTGACGTGAAAAAATTCTGTCAGCCAGTTTGATTTCCATGGTGTCGTGTACAACATGAAATCAGTTTTGATGTAACTTACAGAACTTCTTACAAATATTTTAAATCACTGTAACTGTCAAATGTCATAGTTACCTTTACAGTTGTTCATGGCTGATCTGTACGTTTCAAGTGTACTTGATCACAGACAATCAAGTTCCTCATATGATCTACTCAAGCTATAACTTAAAACTCCTTTTAATTTGTTTAGTCAAACACTGAACATTATGACCAAGTGACCAGAATGAAGTAATGAAAAAATCAAATCCTAAGGGTTAGTTCATTCTTCATGAACCTGTATTAGATTTATTTAATTCCCCAAATTGTGAAGCCTGAGTTACAACATTCACATATCAACCCAAGAGATTCACAGCAGTTCCTGAAAGCTTTACACTTTACTTCCATTCACTCAGGGAAGGCTGCTTTCCAAAAGCAATATTAGGCAGATTACAAATCATAAAATGCTACCTGTATTGGAATTTATCTTGAAATACTTTCCGTCAGACAAGAGAAAATAGGAAAGTTGTCCATTTCTTCCCGAGTCTTCGTCAACAGCTCTAATGGTGCCAACCACACCCTTGGGAATTGGATTTTCCTCCATTTCAAAGAAGTAGCTTTTATGCATAAAAATGGGAGAATTATCATTTTCATCCAGGACATTAACTATTACTGAGGTACTTGCATTTTGCCTGGGTTTTTCATCCTCGGAGGTACTGACCAGGACTCTAAAACTTAGTATCTGTGCACATTCATAGTCCAAACGTTTCCGAAGATAAATCCAGCCAGTATCAAAGCTGATTCCAAATGCAACAGAATCTGTGCTAGGCTCTAAGGAATATGTCAGCTTGGAGGTAACACTGTGTGGATCAAGTGAATGGGCTTGAACCTGAAGGATTTGTGCGCCTGGAGAGGTAGCTTCGCTGACTTCTGCTTGATACACCAAGTTTTGAAAAACCAAAGCGGGGCCCATCTTCTGGTCTTCAACAATCACTGTCAACATCAGCCAAGAAGTCAGAGGAGGACTTCCACAGTCTTCAGCTTCCTGCTGCTTATCTGCAGACACTGTCCTGGTGAGGTTTACCACTCCAAGGCTTGGATCAATGCTAAATGCATTTGACTGCTTGCTTGCGATACTGTATTTGATTGCCCCATTTAAGCCACTGTCTTTGTCTTCTGCATGAGCAATGTAGACAGCAGTGCCAGGAGGCTGGGTATGTGAAATGGTTACCTTATCAGATTTGGTAAGAAATATTGGAGGATTGTCATTAACATCTGTCACAGATATGTTGACCTGGGTGCTACTGTAGACAGGGGAGTTACCCAGCTGTGACTGAACGGTGAGCACCGCAACAGACTGAGTTTCATGGTCAAGCTGTTTTTTGGTGCGGATGATACCAAACTGTGGGTCAATAATGAATCTTCCATGTGGATCACCAGAGGAAATTCGGTAAGAAACCACTTCTAAAGAATCTAGAAATCGAAAGAACAACAAAAAATGTAAACAAAAATATGAAAGTGATCACATGAGGGCTGGTAAGAACATCTGTGAAGAATGCATGCTGTTAAATTTAGCGGAATAAATGTAAGCTACACAGATGTTAGACTTTCTTGGGCTTTTTATGCTTCCTTGTTCCTATCCCTGGAGCCCTTCAGTAAAACAAATACTGCACAGGCTTGATCTGCCTGAATCCAGTTTGTCCACTTGTGCACCATTTGATTTTCATCTCACTGGTATGGTAAAACTCTATAGAGAAAATAATAATATAATAGCCTCTTGGTTTTCCCTGATCTAAACTACAGAAAAACATTCCTATACATTAGTCTTACGGGACTGATTTCACTACACATAGGCATTCACTATAGCAAGGAATGAAGCAGGTGGCAGTTCTCTGAAAGAACTGCATTTTACTTACAGTTCATGGACGACCACTGCTATAACCCTTATACATCAGATGCTACCTAAAGCAAAACCTATCTAAAGGTTCAGGCTTATTACCAAGGCCACTCCACAGGTGCTACCTCACCCTGGGGACAGTGATAAATGCACTGTCCTTCCAAGGGAAAGAAAATGAGAGGATCTGACTAATCAAACTCAAACCTCTACCACTACCACCTTGCATATACAGATCCATCATCAAGCCTGTACTTGGACTCACGGCTCCCACTGCTCTGTGTAAAAACCTAATATATATGGCTCTCAGGACAGGGTGTTTATGACTGGGTCTTGGCAGGAGCTAACCCATTTCTCTCTAAAAATTATAAAGAAACCAAATCAATTAAATACATTTTCAAAAGGTCCCATAAACGTTAATCTGGACTTCACCACTTAATTTGTGAAAGTGTGGGGGGTTTTTGCAGCAGCACTTCATACAGATTCTCTGAAACTTGTGAATACTCTTTGCTCATGAGTATTGCTCTAAGATTTGTTTTTCATGGCTTTAACACAAGCCATGCCATCACACAGACCCTTCCTTTCACAACATGCTTCCCATCTCCCCATTTATCATTATAGAAATCTATCTGGAAGCTACAGCACCCGTTTGCATGCAAAAATCATATTAGGAAACTACTTAAGGTATTTTTAACTATATTGCAAAGCAAATTAGTAAACTGAAGTAGGAAAATGGAGTCAGTTGCCATTCCCCATGGAACATCAAGGAGAGTACCACAAACATCCATCTGTTCTAAAGAGCTTCCTGATACAGCAGTGATTATACCAGATGCTGTAAATACCAACAGTAAATACTATTTAATGGTTGACAGACTGAATGAATAATACAAAAATTTAAAAAAAAAAATTACCTGCAGATATTTCCAGTTAATGGTCACAAAAAAATGCAGTGTAATCTCTGACTGAGCACGCAACTTACTTGGAGGCTCTCTAGCCTTTACTGTGCCAATCAGGCTGTCTTCAGGTGCATCTTCGGAAACAGAAAAAGTATACCGGGATCTCTCAAATATGGCAGGGGTTGAAGCAGTCTGAAGGATGTTTACTGTGATGGCTGCATTGGTGGTAGAGGGAAGGCCACCCCCATCCCTGGCAGAAACAGTCAGGAAGAGCGCAGAACGTGCCATGTGGCTGAGAGCTGAGAGCAGGTAAACAATTCCTGAAAGGATACAGAAAAAGTCCCCAAATAAAACATCCACTCAAACAGGGCTGAAGCCCCAAAATAAAAATCTTAGCAGTCAGGGGCTCTGTGTAAAGTATCTGGGAAGCAATCACCTGTCTGATCACAAGTTTTTGGTAAAATACCCTTTAATAGTAAACTCTAAGGTCTGTTGAATTTGCAAGCTGCTAACAATTATATTTTATATAAACTATATGAAATAAGTAATTATTTGAAAAAAAAATGCAATGCTCTGTCCAGAAATACAGCACTTTGGATGTGCCTTCCTCAAGTTAAATACATTTGCATCCTTCAGCTCTGATGAATGAGACTAGCTGTCTCCAAATATATTCTCTTCTGACTGCTAAAATAAGTCTTTAGTAATATCAGATAATTATGCTCAATTTTCAAATACTCTTTACATTATTACAGACACCCACATCTAGCTATTATTACCTAAGATGGTAGCATGGATAGAAAGAATTAACATGGCAGGAATCCTGTCCTGCCTTCTTCTACAGTAAAAGCTTGTATGAACTACAAAGAAAGTTTTATTTGAGTGAAGACTTCAGTCTCGGCAATGAGAATTACACTCAAACCATATCTCTCTAAGGGATGTTCATAACGGTCCACAACAATTACTCAAAACTGATACTTGTTAATTGTTCCATAAGAGTTATTCTTTGTCCTCTGCAAGCACATTAAGGATTTGTAAATGAATATATAACCCACAAATAAATCATTAGTCCTTAGAGAACTCTCAAATGTCTGGTCTAGATGAAGTGAACACAAATACTCAAAAATTTAGGGGAGCTCACTAAATCATAGAGCAATATAGCAGCTCACAGTATGTTAGTTAGGTCATAAATAGTGTAACTAAACCACTATAACTTGAGGCACACAGTTGAAGACCATGTGCTTTGAGCCAGGTAAAAGGTGGAATAAGGAAATGGAATTATGTCCTAGAGAGTATTAACACTGTTTTGTCTTACCCTTCCCAGCATCTTTTCTATCACTGAGCAGGAAGAAAAACACTTTCACTTAATTCTGAGGGTCAGAAATCTCTCAATATTCTACGACCTTTTGGTGATCACAGATTTTTGCAACACACAGAGAACTGTTTGTAAAGTAACTTTTTCAACATTCAATTGAAGACGAAAGGTGAACAAATGCATTAAAACTCCTCTTAGCAATGACAGTTTAACTGAATATATACTAAATGCTAACATTGTAGTGAGCTAAGTACTAAGGTTGCAATCAACTCAAGTGATTCAACTAATAGGGCCAACTTTCTACATACCAACAGGTATTGCTAAGAAAGCACCCATGCTTTTTGTAGAAGCTGGTGAAGGCACAAAACTTTTAGCAGCTCAGTAAAACCAAGCTTTTAAAACTTTGAGCTACCTTTTTAATTTCCTGGCTCTCAAGAAAGGTGTAATAGGGACAATGTTTGGCATTCAAGTCAGACATTTAGTGGTCCTCTTTGTCAGACAGGGTAAAAATTATATTTAACTCAAAGTGCCTTAGGAGAATCAGTGCATGATTCAACTGAAATATATCTTCTCAAAATTTAGCATCAAGCCACAACACTAACATTCCATGATGCATTTTTAAGCAGGATAATGGAAATACATAAAATCCTTATAAATATTCAAACATGCATGCGGTATACTTTCCAGTTATACTGCCGGGATATTGTAATAACAAACTCTGTCTTAACATGCTTAAAATGCATTCAAAGGGTCTCCAGGACCAAGGGAGAATGCTTTCCACTAACAACAAAGGACACTTATTCCAGTGTGACAAACCACAGTAAAAACTCAAAAGATATACAGATGGATTCAGAATCCATTGCAGATCCAGCTCCTATGCCAACAACTGACGCACTTCCAAGAATCAACCTTGCTTTGGCCTTTTTTTTTTTTTGTCTTCTAATGATTTTTACGATTCGTTAGACAGCTCAACAAAGTAGTCTTCCAAGGACATAAACTTTTGGCATTTCCTGAGGTAATCTGAGCAACTGTAGCTTGAAGAAAAAAGGTGTTTAACCCTTTTTTCCCCAGAGATTAAGTGTATAAACATGGATTTTAAATGCTGTCACTGTCAAACTAAATGAAACCATCAAATGGACTGTATTTTACTAACTTAACTAACTGGGTATTTTTCTATTGAAAAGGCCAAAAATATCTCATTCCCATTTTGGGATACTTCAAGGCCTATGTGAAGAGTGGGAAAACTTCTACAGAAAAGCATCATGTTGAAATTCTTACTCTCAAAGCAATAAGTAATTACTTCAGAATATCCCGTAGCAAAGGGTGGAGCAAACAGTGAACTTTAGGAACTCTGAAGACCTAGTGGAACAGAAATAATACAGAACCAAAATTCCCTCCCTGCTGCCCTACACAGATGACAGCACAGTCCATGCCAGTCTAGCTACAGAAATCAGACAGAAAAGAAAATGGTAAAAAAGGTGTTACTTTGTCTCTTCATTCTTTTCTGTATCCTAGAGAGGGATGGGAATAAGCAAGTACATCTCCCTACTCAGACCTTTCTTGCAGCACTTTTAAGAACAGTGGTAGATTCCAAGTAAAAAGCATATGTCTTCCATATAGTTCTGTCCAGCCTCAAAACTGTAATACGCAGGAAATTTTATAACCCAGTTTGACTTCTAATTACATATATTCTGTTTTCTTCAGCATTTGTAGGACTGGGCATTAGCTTTGCACCTGGTGATATACAATCTATACAGACATTTGAGACAGCCCTAGCATATGTTAGGGGACATGCCACATTAAGCTTGATATGGCACCATATGATGCTGAAAGAAGATGTAAAAGCATCTGGGACCCTGCTTTCTGTATGGTTAGGTTAAAAACACCGGACTGTGACCAAAATGCACAGTCATGACCACTTGGGTCAAAAGCAGCTGCCATCACCCCTCAGAGCAGGCAGCTTAGGTGTATTTATTTCATCTGCCTTAATACGGTGCAGGAGATCCCCTAGTAGTACAAAGGCAGAAACACGGGGCTGACTGCAAGAAGCACACAGCAGGAACTAGCTGCGTAAGTCACACATTCGTTATGCAAAACTCAGAGGTATGCCTCGCTAAGTAACAGACTGAAGATGAGTCACGGCTCTTCTCTCTTTCCTGTTCTGTAATTAAGAAAAGACAATGACTTTTTACTGTTATTACTACAGTCATTTGCAGCCTGCAATTTGTGCCTTCAGAGAGCTTAAAGGAAAATTAGGTTGCTGCGGTACAGAATATACTCCTCCACTGTGAAAAAGTTTCCAGAAAGGCTAACGAGGGACTAATGAGACAGCTTTTCAGCGAGGAACATTTTACCAAGGCCAAAGCTCCCAGCAGGGGACCACACAGACAGAAGTGTGGTTCTAGTTTAAGAAGTCACTGTGCAACAAATCATAGAATTATTAAGGTTGGAAAAGACCTCAAGGATCATCAAGTCCAACCCAACCCCACCTAACTCACTAAACCATGTCCCTAAGCACCACATCTACACATTTCTTGAACACCTCCAGGGATGGTGACTCCACCACTTCCTCGGGCAGCCTGTTCCAACAGAAGTCTAATTATGTCTATAATCATTACTTCAAAAAATGCCACCTTCTTTCTTACAGCTTGTCTTTCCATATACACAGACAGCCTTATCTGCTGCCTTTAATAACATTTAATTCCCATTTTTAAAATTTATTGTTTACATTACTGCAGTGCCTTCAAGATTTTATCTCTGGTAATTCCTCTTTCCATAGGAGAGAGAGATGGAATCAATTCTGCTTCGCAGGTGAGCAATCATACAATTAAATACCAGATGAAACATTAACATCCAAGCTCATACCTTGGCAATCCCATTTTCTTGACTAGATTTACATGGGTGTAACTGACTGCAGATTCCAACCTTTATACATCAAAAACATGACCCAGAGACTGCCTATCGTGATTTGCATACACATTTTGGACAGAATGGGCAATGCTGTTTGCATGACAGCAACTGCCACCACAGGCTCTAGCTTGGGAAGAGCTCTGCACCAGTGCTGGTTAGCTCAGCACACCCACATTGGGAGTTAGAGATATTTTGCTGCAGAACAATATGTGCTTAACGGCTAGCATAAATTGTTACAACAGTTTTGGGGATTCAGTGCACCGTGAGAGGTAGTACTAATGAAGGGCAAAATCATGACTGTCAAGCATTTTGACCTGCTTCATGCTTCCTCACTCACTGTACGTGCTAGGACACTAACTTCCAAAAAGTTCTTGCTCTCCAGTTTGTGCCTATCAACAACCAAAGACAGATAAAGCCAATGTTTGCCCAGTACTTGCAAACACATCACTGAAAGACAGGACTCTGTTACCACCATCCTCTGGCAATGACAAAATTTCTCATGGGATTTTGTTCTTGTTTTTGTGGAGATGCACCCTACTGTACAGGTGGGTTAGCTGCTAAGAGCTGTTTCTCAAGAGCTAAATGCAGGAGATGCATATAATGATTCTTTTAAAATATATTTCTGATCATCTTCACGATCCTGTGTTCAGTCCTAACATCTCAACAGCATACACTACCAAAGTAGGTTCACTCCCCAAAGGCACTTTTTGTATGGGGCAGAAATAGTACTGGTTATCCCAAAAGGATTTCCACACATACCTCTAGCTGACCACTTTGAAAAGCTGTCTGTTTTTCCACAGGGTCCTCATGTAAGCAAAGCAAAAACCAGCCCTATGTTTATAGCCATTCATAGGTAAACAAAACATTTTCTACTGGTCAAGCACTGCAGAGGCAAAGATAAAAATCAGGATGCACTAACTTCAGTAACAAAGTCTGGACAGCATAGAAATGCATACTCATTTTAAATAGCTTCCAGCATTTTCTCATTGTTCATGAAATAGAAAATCAACTTTAGAACATGACAAGAGGAATAAAAATCAACAACTATCAATAGTGTTCCCTAAGGCCACGAAACCAAATGCCCTGACAACATTAAAC